AATAATTTATAAATTATCAAGAGTTCATGAGGGAGAGGGAAGCGGGGAGGGAGGGGAAAAAATGAGGACCTGATGCCAGGGGCTTAAATGGAGAGCAAATGTTTTGAGAATGATGAGGGCTATTAGTGTACTAGTGTGCTTTACACAATTGATGTATGTATGGATTGTGATAAGAGTTGTATGAGCCCCTAATAAAATGATTTAAAAAAAAGAAGAGTTGTACCACAATCAATTTTGGACTGTTACATGATTTTGACTTTTGTTCCACAATTTTTTCTCACTCTGCGTTCTAATGCGATTGATCGCTTTCAGAGTAGTTGGCCGCGGTAGCCAGGCACCATGGGGTTCTTCTGGGCTAAGGAACGTGAGGACTGATGTTCTCCTGGCCATGAGTCCAAGGACTAATTGCGTACATTCCCTCTCAGTTTTCTTCACTCTTCTTTCCTCCGGACAGGAGACCAGTAATTGCACCTTAGTTGATCCCTTGCAAGCTTTAAAGACTCCTGCTGCTACTCACCAAAGGAGGATGTAGAGCATTGTTTTTGTGAACGATATTATGCTAATGACCTTGATGTCGTTTGAGGCCATGGGTCTGAACATCAGACCGTGCGTGGTCTCCTGAATCCCCAGACCCAGCAGTTGATTCCCTCAGCCCGTTTTAGAACATTGCCTTTCCTGTATGCGCCACCGCAGTTATGAGTTTATTTGCATCAAAGGTAAGTACACATGGGAACCCTCTTTGCCAAACATATGTATTCCTGAGTATACTCCCACTTTCGCTCCCACCCCCTTTCTGCCAGTAGGTGTGTCTGTACGGCCATACCAGTATTTATCTCGATCTTTTGTTTTAGTCCCACAAGTCCTCGAGACTCTATTTATTCATTCATTATTTTTAGTTTAGATTATATAGTTTCCATTGCACTATCTCCCAACTTACTGATTCTTTCATGTCTTCCCTCCTTTCCGCTGTTTGGGTCCATCTATCTGGATTTTAATTTTGCTAATTGTAATTTTTAGTTCTAAAATTTTCATTTATTTCCTTTTTGTATCTTCTCCTACTTTGCTGAGTCTATTTCATTTTTCATCAGTTTATGAGCACTTGTAAATGTTTTTGTAGTTTTTAAAATAATGGCCGTGTTAAAATATTGGTATGCTAATTTGAATATCAGTGTCATCTGGCTGTTTGGATCTGTTGATCTCCATTTCCCATTTAAGGTGAGATTTTTCCTGGTTCTTGGTATGATGACTGCTTTTCAGTTGGAGCCATGATGATTTGGGTACCGTATTAGGAGACTCTGGCTATTTGTTACATCTCTCTCTATGGCAGATCTGCTGTCACTGCTTCTATGAGTGGAATAGGGATGACAGCTTGTATTGCAAGATAGGGGCGGAAGTCCAGGTTTCCCACTTGGTCTCCATTGCCACTCAGGGTGGAGGAGGAGCGCCTCCTTACTATTGCACTGGGCTTAGAGTCCATCGCCCTCCTCTGGTACAGTGAGAATTGACCTTGCTATCATTCAGTGGTTGACCAAAGTCTTGACCCTTCACCAGCCCTCCTCTGCCACTGCACAACAGGTGGCAGGGGTGAGGTGGGTGTCTCGTTACCAGCCAACAGGGGTGTAAGTCCAGACTCTCATATTGTCATCTTTGCAACTCTCCAACAGGGGAGTGTCTCCTTGCTACTGCCTGGTCTGGATGCATGCCCAAGCGTGGCATTCTTTAACGACCACCACCTCACTAGAAGGGTTGATTGACCCATCAAAGCCTGGAGAAGATGGGAGTATTGGCTCTCCACTCAGCCTTGGCTATGGGATGTGGGGCCAATTTTTTTTTTCCTGTGGTGTTTGGCTGGGTAGCATGGTGATTGCCTAAAGGATTTCTGCTTTGCTAGGCTCGAGAGAAAGCTTTTGTCGGGTTCTTTTTTGGTTGGTGCCTGTTGGTGTTTCTATGTTGCCAGCTTCTCTGAGCCAAAAGAAGACCCATGGAACTCACAGCTGTGCTTGTTCCTTCCGTGGGTCCTGTTCTCCCCAGCTGTTTGCCTTCTCCTCTCCCCCGTGACTCGATAGGTAACCTCTGGACTTAGTGGGGCGATACAGGAAAAATAGGGCTAATACCCTCTGCTCAGAAGTGGCAGTCCTCTGCAGTTCACGTTAGACTTTTCTTTTCTCTTAGTTTCTCTCTCTCAGCGTCATTCATTTGAACTCTGTCAGTTAAAAAAATGGCACTTTTGAAAGAAATCCCACATTTTTGAGATGAGTCTCACTATAGATGCATTTAGAAACAGTCCACTTTCTTGCTTTTAGGATTTGTTGTGTTCAGTTTTCTTATTTGTAACCAGGTGTCCTCAAACTATGGCCTACGGGCCACATCTGGCCCGCTGAGGACATTTATCTGGTCCGCTGAGTGTTTTTGCCCCGCTTTTTTTGTTCGTTTTTGTTTTTTAACTTCAAAATAAGATATGTGCAGTGTGCATAGGAATTTGTTCATAGTTTTTTTTTAAACTATAGTCCGGCCCTCCAATGGGTCTGAGGGACAGTGAACTGGCCCCCTGTTTAAAAAGTTTGAGGACCCCTGTTTATAACGTTTTATAAACTTCATTCTACAATCAATCTGTTGTCTGACAAAAGTATGATATATTTGTGGTTTCTTGCTCTCATGCATCTTTAAGTTGTGTGCATTCAAATCCAGCTTTTATTTTCTTCCTCTGATTTTATGGCATTGAGTTGAGTATATCAATGTTCTTTAAAATTAACTTCTTTCATATTTTTATTTTTTAACATTTTAACTCCTTTCGCAGTCTGGACTTCATTTTGGTGTTTGTGGTAAGGAGCTAGTTTAAGATTTTTTTCCTCCCCCAAACAGGCAATTATCTCAGCACCAGTTTTAGTTTAAGTTGTTTTTTCCTCACTGATTGGAAATGCTGCCCTCATAATTTGCCAGTCTCTTCAGCCTTTTATGTTTTGCTTCTGGGTAATCTATTCTTTTTTAAAGAAAATTTTTATCATTTTTGCCTTTATTACTTGCCCGTTTTACTTCATAATAACTGAAAAAGAAATAGTAAAATCTCCCAGGTTTTACTTATTTAGGTTAACGCTTTATATTGTGTAGCTTTTGTCACAGATAAGGGGCCTTCAATAAGTTTGTGGGGGAAATTCCAGGATCTTTTCCCACAATATACCAAGCTAACAACTGTAATATTTTTACTTTGGATATATTTGCCACATTTTATACCTTTTTGTGTTTGTGGTGATGTAGTGGCTATGCGTTGGGCTGTGATCTGCATGGTCAGCAGTTGAAAACCACCAGCAGCTCTGAGGAAAAAAGACTGGGGTTTCTACTCCCATAAACAGTGCCAGCCTTAGAAATCCACAGGGGGTCGCTGTGAGTCAGCAGTGACTTGATGGGGGTGAGAGTTACCTATCTTGTAAGTTTTTGAAATGTGTCTTATGCAAACATGGGTTGAATTTAAATACATTTCATGTGGAATAGATATAGGTGGATTTATCTAATTTAGTGAAGTAAGTAAACCTTTGTTAGTTTTATGCTATTTAATAAATTAAGAATTCAGTTCATATTCAGCACTGGGCTGTTAACTGCAAGGTTGGTAGTTCAAACCTGCCAGCTGTACTGCAGGAGAAAGATGAGACAATGAGAAAGATGTGTTGGGTTTAGTCTGTATTAAAGTAACTTAGGTAACGTTCCCTTGATACTCTCTGTTGTGCTTGTTAGGTGCCTTCCAGTCAGGGACCCTGTGCACACAGAATGGAACGCTGCCTGGCCTGGCGCCATCCTCACGTTCGTTCTCAGGGTCGAGCCCCCTTTGCAGGTGTTATCTACTGACTTATAATTATGAAAGTTAAAGTTGGATTGGCTGCTTTAACATAAGTTTATCTGTCGCTAGTTACACTTGTACCCTCCCTACTTTCTCCCACCTCTTTTTCCTCCAGAAAACTAAAAAAACCCAGGCCTGGCAATTTTTGTTTTTTAAGAACTCAAGTATTTTAGCTAGATAAAGTTAGTATAAAAAAGAAATAGAAAGTTACTTTTTAAAATAAAGTTTAGTAGTGAGGGAATGTTTATGAAAAATTATCTTTTGCAAATTTAAAATTTCTCCATTGGAGAAGACTAAATTATTCAAGATGTAAGACGTTAAAAAGATCCGAAGGAAGTAACAAAATAGTTGCTGCCTTGCTGGCCACTGATTTCAGCTGACCACTGCCACTGAAGACCCAGATAAATGTATAGACAATGGAGTCCACGGTGTGTTCTTCTGTTTTTGTTTTATTTTAAACATTTCTTCCCAAGCTGTACTCTTTTGGACAGTTATATTTTCAAGGATATTGTAGTTTTGTTAGTTATAGGGTGGCATTTTTCCTGAGTGTCCTTGTCTTTTAATGCTCTCTCTCACTTTTTAATTAAGCAAATAAACTCAAAATCAAAATCTTTAGTTTGGAACCTATTACAAGGAACTATATGTGACCTCCTACCTGGGGGACGGACAACAGAAAGTGGGTGAAGGGAGACGTCGGATAGGGCAAGATATGACAAAATACCAATTTATAAATTATCAAGGGCTCAGGAGGGAGTGGGGAGTGGGAAGGGAGGGAAAAAATGAGGACCTAATGCCGGGGGCTTAAGTGGAGAGAAAATATTTTGAGAAGAATGTACAAATGCGCTTTACACAATTGATGTATGTATGGATTGTGATAAGAGTTGTATGAACCCCTAATAAAACTATTAAAAAAAATCTTTAGTTCAAAAGTATCCGAAATAGTGTTTTCTACATGTATACTTTTGGTTCTAGATGAAAAACTGTTGACACCTTTAGCCCTATTAGCATGTGCTTGTTGTTTTAACAGGTGTTTTATGCAATTCAGAGAAAGCTTTTGAATTGATAGACCATTAACTTTCCTTTTGTAGCATCATTTTATCAAGAATGCAAAGCCTGTGTCGATTTTAAGAGACCTGATCACAGAAGCTATGGAGATCAAAGCGAAGAGACATGAAGAGCAGCAGCGTGAGCTGGAGGAGGAGGAAGAAAATTCGGTTTGTATTTGCCTTCGGGAAATTGACTTTTCCCTCTTGACACATAACTGATTTGCCCAGCTCTTGTCTTGAGCCCTGCTAGCAATAGTAGTTACTTGTTGAGCTGCTAAATGCAAGGTCAGCAGTTCAAAACCACCAGCCAGGTCTTTCTACTCCTGTAAAGAGTATAATCTTGAAACATCAGAGGGGCAGTTCTCCCCTGCCTTATAGGCTCACCATGAATTGGAAGTGAGTAATCATTTTACTGTGACTTTTGCCTCAATAGCACTGACTGTGTTGTTACATTGTGAGGTAGAATTTAATTGATTTATATTAAATGCTTGCTACCCTTAGGTCTTAAGAACTAGGGATAAGTGAGAGGTAAGGTTGCTGGAATACACTTGCACAATGCCTTATCTCTAGTTGGTATTCCGTGATTGTTGAGAACAGTCATGAATGCGGTCAATTGTGTGCCATATCTTTGGGAACTTTCTTGAACTTGTCAACAACTGTGCTGTAGATAACAAGTACTGCAGTAGAAGAGGGGTTATGAGAGAAAGCAGAAAGGACAAACAAGGGCTGAGTGTGTTGAACTTGCTGGTTCCATTTACATTTTTCATACGTTTGTGAATGTACATTAATTCTACAGAAATAGTGGGTAATACAGAATTATTTTAATACTTTGGCTCTTGTTTCAAGGGATTTTATAATTCCCATACTGGGTTCTTGTCCAGCAATAAGTAATAAGTGCTTCAAAAAGTTCATGGAAAAATGGAATGAAAAGACTGGATTTTTCCCCATGAATTCTCTGAAGCCCCTCATCTATTTAGTTTCAGATGTCTTTCCACTTGACACACATCTAGCATTTTGTACTTTCAGAAACACTTGATCAGCTATTATTCCACTTGCTCTTTACGCTTGCTGGTGTTTAGTGGTGTTGTCCCTTTTAGCAGTTGAGTAAAATTATAAGAGAAATGGTTTGCTGAAGTTTGGAATCAGGAGTCAGAAATGAAAGATTTATCTACTTTGAAACTCCCATGATCCTTCATTTCTACCCAATGCTCACTTTCCTTTAACTTAATTTATTGCTTTTTGAGCAACATTGGCTTAATCCGGTTTACACCATCTCGGAGAGGGTCATTCGTGTTCACTGAGAAGCCAGTCTTTGCCCCTCTGTGCTGGCACTCACTGGCCTTTTCTGGGCTTTGACAGGATATGTGTGGACTTCCAGTTACTACTGGGCTGGCGAGATACCTTAGCCACCAGTAGGCCGGTGTTTAGTTTTGCTTCATCCTTATCTGCCTGTACGTAATTACAGGCTGGTTTCCATTTTCTCAGATAGGTAGAGAACTGTGGGCGCCTCCTGTGTTCTTTTTGACACAGCCCTCTGCTTCTTTCCTTCCTTGCAGACCCTCCTTTTCCTCAGACATGCCTCTCCCTTGCTGGGCTACAGCCTCAAAGGCTCCTTTTAGATTTAAACACACTTTTGAACATGACAAAAGGCCTTTCCTTAGTCAGGGCCTTTACATGCCATGCACCCCAAAGTTTCACAGCTTAAAACAGCACACATTTCCTAAGGCAAAGTGTCTGTGGATCAGGACCGAGTAGTAGTTTGGTTAGAGGGTGCTGAGGGAGGATCTCTCACGAAGTGTCAGTCCCATTCTCAGTCAGAATCTGCTCACTGCAAGGCCTGATGAGGGTAACTCACCTCTTAGGGCTGTGGACTTGCTGCCCCAGAGCTTGGCTGGGATGAGCCTCACTCACTGTAACCAACACCAGGTCCACAGTGCCGTGGCCGGACTTTGTTTGCTGCCTGTGGCTTCTGTCCTTCAAGTTCCTGTGGCCTGCTAAACTAGATACCACTCACACACAAGGGGGCTTCTAAACGTTTATGGGGCAGTTACATTATCTTTACGTTTCAAGAGCGCCCTCGTGGCCTAGTGGTTACACTTTTGGCTGCTAACTGCACAGTCACTAGTTCGAAACCACCAGCTACTCTGCAGGAAAAGAGGACGCTTTCTCTTCATGAAGAGTTACAGTCTTGGAAATGTATGGGGCATTTCTACCCTGTCCTGTAGGGTAGCTGTGAGTAGGAACCAACTCAATGGCAGTTGGTTGTTATGTTGTTATTGTTGTTGTTAATTCCATCTATCCACAAATGTTTTGAAGCCTCCTTGTATTTATCCTTGGAAGCTTTCCAGCGTCTAGATTTTTTTTGATTTCTTCCTTTTGCTGCCACTTCCTCCTCTGTGCTCTGTGTCTTTGTGAGTTGTCTTTTTTCTGTGTCTTTTGAGATTTTTGGATGAACTTTGAGAGACATAGGCATAAACCTGCATGTTCATGCTTCAGTTTTAATGGATGCTGTTGTCTTTTCTGGAGTGCTTTGTAATTGTAATTGTGAATATGGGGCTTGAATTACAGTATTTAATATGATCAATTTGGAAGTATATATCCATAAAGCAATATCTTTACAGATTGTATGGTTCCCAGATTCTGTTGTTGTTAGGTGCTGTCGGGTCAATTCCAACGGAGCAGAACACTGCCCGGCCCTGCGCCAGCCTCACATTTGTTAGCGTGCTGGGGCCCAGTGCTGCAGCCACCTTGTCAGCGCATCTTGTCCAGGTCTTTCTCTTTCACTCGGCTCTGTTCTGTTGGGTTCTGGACATGTTACTAGTCAAAGTGATCAAAGCAGGGAAGAGAAGGCTTCTAAACATTGCCAAAAAATCAGAGCCATTAAGGCAAGGCATGCCAAATTAGTAGTTAATCAGAAGAGAAATAAATGGATGTTTTCTTCTGAATTACTGGAGCTTTTGCCAAAGAATTTTCTGTACACCCTAGAGCAGCAGTGCAGTCTTGCTTCCCCTCCTCCCTCCCCCCATGAGAAGGGTTGTATAGTAAAGAGCTCGTATTTCACAGATTTGCGCTTACCTAACATCTGTCTGTTATGCTGTGCATCCTCGCTTCTTTCCACCTTCTACTCACCGCTATGACCAGGGCCCAGGAAACTGACTGGTTAGTTTCCCTCAGATGGTGCCTTCAGTCGGCAAGTTCTGGTTTAGCTGGGGTACTGAGGACACGGCAGAGGGATTAGGAGTATTTGGGATTGCGGTTGTGTTTCCATGGAGGGGCCTTGGGAGTGCTGTCGGGTGATTGCTGGACTGCTAACACAGAGTTAGGGATTCCAGCCCACCACATGCGAGATGAGGCTGTCTGCGCCTGCTCACCCTGTGGAGGGGCACGGTGAGTCAGAATTAACTTGGTGGTAGCGGAGGTGTGAGAGAGAGAGTTGTTTTCATTGAGAGTAAGCCTCCTCTTTCAATGAGGTTTTTCAAAGAGGAAAGGTCTTTTTAGCCTGGCGAGAGATCTGCGTGGCCAGGTGTATTTGTTTGGTAAGACCACAGTAACAAATCAGTAAAAACTGGGAGTTTAAAGCAACAGACATTTGAAATCAAGGGGCTGGCAGGGTCATCTCCCCTTCAAAACCTCCATAGGAGGGGAATCCTCCTTTTAGCATTCTGTACCCCAGGCATTCCCTGGCTTATTCTGCGATTCTCCATTCTCCACCCTTGCCTACCCACTGTGTGAGATTTTTTGTCATATAGGGACGCCAGGTGGACTGGATCCGGCAGACCCCAATAACCTCATTTCAACTTATTAACCTTATTTGAAATAAGGGCACATTCATAGGTTCTATGGGTTAGGACTTCAGCAAATCTTTGGTGGGGTGGAGGGTTGGTGAGAGGGCATGTGCAGAATTCAACCTCAAAGCCAGGTTTTGTACTGTATCTAGTGTTAGCCTGGGCCACCTGTATTCTCTAGCAGTCCCGAGGGCAGCCTTTTGGGTCCTGAACCTGAGTGGGTCCTTCTCTAGCAACTGAACTGTTATGTATCAAGCCAGTGAGGCATTGCCTGAGGTGGCCAACCCTGTCACCTAGCAAGAAAGAAGTTGCTTGTTGGGCATTGTAGGAGATGCCCTCGGATCATTAGTGTAAAAGAACACATGTGTGTTCTTATATACTGTAAATCTCTGAATCGTCTCAATGTTCACCTTTTACAGAGTTTCTGTGAACATAATTGCTTTTTATTCAGTACGAAATACATTTTCTTGTCACCAAGGAACATTCAGAATAGGTATAAATCAAGTTGATGTGAATCATCTCTATAAGATTTGAAAAGATCTTTCCCTATAAAATATTAAAAGATGCATTCATTTTAAAAATCACTCCCACCTAGTACCCTTTGCTAAATGTTTTCTAAGTGTCTGAGGAAATGAGGAAATAGGGAGGGCGTAGGGGGGAGAAACCCCACTCCACACCAGCCCAGGGCCGATTTCCATGAGGCAGAGGCCAGACATGCCTCCACCCTGTCCTTCTGTACCATACTCTGACCCCGCCCGCGCCTCCCACTGCACTCTGCTGCTCTGCTGGCTTGCTTCATCCATTTCCATGGCTGTACGGAGCTCTCAGGCAGCCCTCACAGTGACAGGGTTTACTAGAGAAGCTAACTGGTTCCCACAGATCAGGATCAGAAAACATTCAGGCTACAATCTTTGGTCCACAGGAGTGCCTCTTCTCAGCCAGCAGCCATGAGGGCCCTTGGACGCTGCTTTGTTGTGTGAGGTGGGGACCCTGCTGCTCTACCTCGCCGTCTCTGTCTCGTACACCCCTGTGGCCCCACCTCGGGTGCCTCTGCCACCTCCCAGGAATCTCGCATGCGTTTGGATGGTGGCTCTTCGTACTTGATGATTGTGGGATTCTTCTCCCTCTGCTTTGGCGATGGCTCCCTTATACCCTAAGGAATGGCAAAACTGACCAGTTCCCTCTGAGCGCCTCACGCACTCTGTGTGCATGGTCTCACCCACTCTTTTGGTGGGTGCTGCAAAGACATGGACAGAAGAGCGGTGTTTAAGCAGTTGCACTCCCCATACTGCTTTACTCTGAAAAGTGATGGCAGGCTGTTTTCTTGCTAGAGGAATGTAGAGTTTGTTTTGTCCTTGTCCAAATAACAAATTATACGTATGA